AAAGCAACAACAGAGCCTCAAATCAAGTGTAGAACCCTTTTGAATAGGGGCCCTGTGTGACTTCACAGGTTGTACGCCCTTGTAACTGGCCCTGTCCCTAGAAAAAAAGATGAAAGGAAATATCCCAAAATGTCAATAGGGATTATCTTTGGTTTGGGGATTACTGATGATTTTTATTTCATGAATTTAAACTTTTTCACAATAGACATCTTTTATAATCAGAAAAAAAAAAACCAGTCTGTATCTTTTTTTTAAAAAAGCCCTAAGTTACACTAAAAGCAGCACTACAATGAATTACATTATATTTTGCTTTTAGGCTCTTTTAAATGTCCCTTTTGGGCCACTGCGAATAACAAATTCTATTTTTAAAGTTTCTATAATGTGTTTTTAAGTCACTGTAGAGAATAGAGCAGGATATAAAAATGAAATCAGTTCTTTGCTAAGTTTAAAAAAAAGCAAGCACAAGTTGAACTACAAATAACACATTTCCATCTATTTTTGTCCCATATAGAATTAGCTATTTGGTTGGACATTGAACATTTGCTTGAATGGTGTAATGCTGAAAATTCCTTCTCTAGCCTCCTTAGACCTATATTCATATAATTGGCAGCCCACACTGGCAAAAAGAAGGCCTGCACCTGCAAGAGGCCTATTGCATCCTCGTCCAATGAAGGATTTAGCAATATTTTTTTATTTTAATTTTTATTTATTTGTTTTTGAAATGAGGTCTCACTCTTTCACCTAGGCTGGAGTGCAGTGGCATGATCTTGGCTCACTGTGACCTCCGCCTCCTGGGCTCAAGCAATTCTCCCACCTCAGCCTCCTGAGTAGCTCGAACTACAGGCGCCCACCACCATGCCGGGCTAATTTTTGTATGTTTTTGTAGAGATGGGGTTTCACCATGTTGCCCAGGCTGTTTTTTTAATGAAGAAAGGTTGTATCTGAAAGGCAATAAAAGACCCCTTAAATGAGAGCATTAAGTGACTTAAAAAATCATACAGATAGGCTGAGCACAGTGGCTCACGCCTGTAATCTCAGCACTTTGGGAGGCCAAGGTGGGCAGATCACATGAGGTCAGGAGTTCAAGACCAGCCTGGCCAACATGGTGAAACCCTGTCTCTACTAAAAATACAAAAATTAGCCGGGCTTGGTAGCGGGCACCTGTAATCCCAGATACTAGGGAGGCTGAGGCAGGAGAATTACTTGAACCCAGGAGGCAGAGGTTGCAGTGAGCCGAGATTGTGCCGCTGCATTCCTGTCTGGGCCTGGGCAACTGAGCAAGACTCCGTCTAAAAAAAAAAAAGTACAGATGGTATCTGCAATGTGAGAAAAAAAAGAAATTTTTTATCTGAGAAATGCAAGCTCCGCTTTAAATTGTCAGGCCCAGAGCACTGAAATGTGACAAGAGTCACGCTTCACTCCCCCTTGAGCTAGGTAATCACTTCATGAAGCTACTTGCTATTTGGGCTCTAAATTTACTGACCCCAAGTAGCTATAAATTAACCTAACAATGCCATACACTGGACACCATAACTCATACTCTATAGTTCAGCAATGTGTATTGCCAATCATTAATCAATATTATTTCTATAAACCAATGAAAATTCCTCACAAACAACTTTTGTCGTCACCCCCTCTCCTGATTCATTATTTTTTCTTTAAAAGTGTAAGCCTCTCCTTTGTTCTCTGGAGCACTTCCCAAGGTAACTACGAAGTATTTCCAGGCTGCAGTCCTCAACCTTGGCCCAAATAAGCTCTCTATATTAATTTTGCCTCAGTTTCTTTCTTTAGGTAGACAAATGCATTCTTTTAGAAGTTACATAGAGAAGCCTTAACAAGTTGAGCTGCTAATGACATAACTAGCAAGTTTGGCACAAATGAAAGCCAAGACAAATCATTTAATACTTTTAGTGCCCCCAAAGGACAATCTGCCTAGACAGGATTGTCCCTGCAGACCTCTTGAATACAGGCTTCATATATATATATATACACACACACACACACACGCTTATAAATATAAGTTATACATATAAAACAAAACTATATATACATCGTTTTGTTTTGTTTTTTGAGACAGGGTCTTGCTCTGTCACCGTAGCTGGAGTGCAGTGGCACAACCCAGGTTCACTGCAGCTTCGACTAACTGGGCCCAGGTGATCCTCCCAACTCAGCCTCCCAAGTAGCTGGGACTACAGGCACACACCCACCTCGGCCTCCCAGAGTGCTGGGATTACAGGGGTAAGCCACCACACCCAGTCTTTTCGGTATAATTTGTATTGTTTTGCACTAAATGCACTACTGTTTTACGCACTCAATTAATCTGCTGCCTCACTTTGTGTAATCTCCAACAGAAGAAATATGAAAAAGAAAAAGAAAAATGATTATTTGTCATCCCTTCCGCTTTCCCATATTCTATTAATTGTGTATCCAAAGAAAAGCTTTTCTTTAGAGTATTTACTGAGGAAGTAGAGATGCAAACTGAATAACCCGGAAGGGGGTCACTTGTTTCACTTCAGAAAAGGGAAGAGACCTACAGGGGAAGATAATGGGGAAAAAGAGGAGAGGGAGAGGAAGTATGAGAGTCAAAGACAGGGAGGGAGGCTGAACAGATTTGAGAGAAAGAAGACAGAGGCCGGGAATGGTGGCTCACACCTGTAATCCCAGCAATTTCGGAGGTTAAGGTGGGCGGATCACTTAAGTTCAGGAGTTCGAGATCGGCCTGGGCAACATGATGAAACCCCGTCTGTACAACAAATACAAATTTAGCTGGGCATGGTGGTGCACATCTGTGCTCCCACCTACTCAGGAGGCTGAGGTAGGAGGATCATTTGAGCCCAGGAGGCAGGGATTGTAGAGAACTAAGATCATGCCACTGCACTCCAGCCTGGGTGACAGAGCGAGATACCATCTCAAAAAAAAAAAAAAGAAAGAAAGAGGGATTGAGAGAGAGAGAAAGGTGTGTGGCCCTCTCTCTAGGGAGAGAGAAATGCTTCAGGTAAGAATTGTTTGTTTGTTTGTTTGTTTGTTTTGAGACAGAGTTTCAGTCTTGTTGCCGAGGCTGGAGTGCAGTGGCATGACCTCGGCTCACTGCAACCTCCACCTCCAAGGTTCAAGCGATTCTCCTGCTTCAACCTCCCAAGTAGTTGGGATTACAGGCATGTGCCACCATGCCCAGCTAATTTTTTGTATTTTTAGTAGAGACGGAGTTTCTCCATGTTGGTCAGGCTGGTCTCAAACACCCAACCTCAGGTGATCCGCCTGCCACGGCCTCCCAAAGTGCTGGCGTCACAGGTGTGAGCCACCGCGCCTTGCCTCAGGTAAGAATTTAAAAGGTGCTGCTAGTGGTGTATTTCATAACTTCCTCTTCTGTCTCCCTTGAAACCTTCAGTAAAAATATTCGTTACTCTCCAGTGTTTTTGTAGTGGAATTTGCATTGTTTGGATGAGATGACATTTGAGAGTGGCCTTCCTAGGGAATCACAGAGTGCCGAGGAGGCTCAGGTACATTCACATTACAGATCAGAGAGGGGAAAGGAAGGACTCCATTCTTTCGTGTTTATTTGTCACAGACAAAGAGGAGATGCACACTCATTTGTGTTTAAATTCATCTAGTCTGTAAATGTGCACACATTTAAATTTAATTCATTCACTTATTACTCATCAGCTTAACAAATATCACTACAGCTCCCATTGTTTGCCAGGTACTGTGCTAAGTTGTTCCTAGGGATAAACACCAAGTAATACAAACCTGCTCGCTGTCTTATTGTAGCTTACAGTTTAACACTATATAGTCTAGTGTAAGGACAAGACCCAAAAGAAGTTATGAATAAATATAGTGTGTAAAGATACTATAATGTATGTTGTTGTTGCTGTTATTTTTAAAAAAGCAAAACTAGCCGGGTGTGGTGGCTCGCAGGATTTTGGGAGGCCAAGGCAGGTGGATCACCAAAGGTCAGGAGCCTGACCAACATGGTGAAACCCCGTCTCTACTAAAAATACAAAAATTAGCCAGGTATGGTGGTGGGCGCCTGTAATCCCAGCTATTAGGAGGCTGAGGCAGGAGAATCACATGAACCCAGGAGGCAGAGGTTGCAGTGAGCTGAGACCACGCCATTGCACTCCAGCCTGGGCAACGAGAATGAAACTGTCTCTAGGCCGGGCGCAGTGGCTCACGCCTGTAATCCCAGCACTTTGGGAGGCCGAGGCAGGCGGATCACGAGGTCAGGAGATCGAGACCATCCTGGCTAACACAGTGAAACCCTGTCTCTACTAAAAATACAAAAAATTAGCCAGGTGTGGTGGCGGATGTCTGTAGTCCCAGCTACTGGGAAGGCTGAGGCAGGAGAATGGCCTGAACCCAGGAGGCAGAGCTTGCAGTGAGCTGAGATCGCGTCACTTGCACTCCAGCCTGGGTGACAGAGCGAGACTCTGTCTCAAAAAAAAAAAAAAAAAAATTAAACTTTGTCTCAAAAGAAAAAAAAAAGTAAATAAAAATTTAAAAATAAAAAAGCAAAACTTTTTCGGGCAATTTAGTTATAAGCAAATTACAATGTTTTATTACAATCTGACTGCAAGAAAAAGGCCTCTAGCAGACCAATCCAAAGATTCACTCTTGGCAGAAATATTTTATAGGAAAACAGAAAGGTTAATCACTTTCAGATTAGATACAAAAGAATGTTTGTTTAAGGTCACTCTATCCGGTTAAATGGCCGGGTGATTGGTTTTCCCAGAACAAGTTGTAATTTAAAGTTCAGAAAAATTCCTTAAGTAATTTATCAGGAATGCAATTCTCTCCCCAGAAGGAGCTTGTGAATTGTATTCCAAAAAATATTCCATCCCAGTCCAGGTTTGGAACAATTTTTCTCCTATTGAATATTTTAAAATATATTTCTACAAGATGGTTCAATGTACTTCTTCAACTCAATTTTTAGCAGCAAATACGTGTCATTTCCTTATGTCAGTCCATATTTAAAACACAGTAATTGTTCCTTTCAGTTGTGAAACAAACAAAGAGTTGATATGGAGAATCCAAATGGAAGCCCTGGTTTAAATAGAACGGACTGGGAAGACCTCTCTGAAGGGGTAAGTTTGAGTTGTGGAAGTCATATTTAAGTTGAGGTCTAAAGGGAGACAAAGAAGCTACTCAAGTGAGATGATAAGGAAACATATTTCACAGGGAAACAGCTTATACAGAGGCCCTTAGGAAAGAAAAGTGACTTTGAAGATGGTGTTACCTAAGGAAACCAACACAGAAGGTTGAAATTGATGCAGACAGTTCAGAGATGGGTTCTGATTGGTCCATTCTGATGGGTTTTCTCTTCAAACCAACCCTTCCAGATACAGTACTAAGAGTAGTACGGGAAGAATTAGGATGAGGTACTATTAGCAGAGGAAAGGGGATCAGAACCCAAGAAATGGGGAGGGGGAGGGAGTGACTCTCCTTAATATTTCCATATCCACAGACAAAAAGGAGACTTTTAGAAATAGACTCCCTGGCGGTCCACAGTGCACTACCCTTGCCTGCTCCTCCTTCAGGGAAAGATGAGTGACTTTCCTGATTGGTGACATCAGGACAAGTCATTAGAAGCAGGAACCAGGAGCTGGGCATTGAAAAGGGGGCTTGCTGTCTCACATACGCTCGCTATGCTATCTCTTCTGCAGTGCCAGGGTTTATGAAACAGATCTTGATCCTATGCACTACTGGCTTAAGGAGTGTCTTCCTGGCAGAGCCAACTCTTTTTAAAGATAGATTGGAAAGCCTGGATGTGAATAGAATTAGTGAAAGTCCTACTTCAGCTTTGGGCTTAAACCACATTGCTTCAACACAAGTTATAAGGAAACTCTTCCCAGATCTGCTTTCGGAGGGGTGGGATAGAGCTTGAAGGGAAAGAAAAAGAAGAGCTTAGCCCTCAGATCCCTAACATGTGGATTTTGGTTAGATATGTGAATTTCTTTCTTTCTTTTTTTTTTAAGCTGGAGTCTCACTGTGTCGCCCAGGCTGGAGTTCAGTGGAGAGATCTTGGATCACTCCAACCTCCGCCTCCCAGGTTCAAACAGTTCTCCTGTCTCAGCCTCCTGAGTAGCTCGGACTACAGGTGCACCCCACCACACCTGGCTAATTTTTGTATTTTAAGTAGAGACCAGGTTTCACCATATTGGTCAGGTGGGTCTCAAACTACTGACCTCAGGTGATCCACCCACCTAGGCCCCCCAAAGTGCTGGGATTACAGACGTGAGCCACTGTGCCTGGCCAGATATGTGAATTTCTTGAAATACGGGGCTATATTAGTTGGGACTCTTCATTATAAGGACAAAAATTCAACTCAAAGTAGCTTAAACAAAGCAAAAAAAAAAAAAAAAGTGGTTTATTGGCTCACATACTGGGAAGGACAGGGTTGTGTGTGTCATTACGACTTTCTGCCTCTTCTTTGTCATCTCTACTTGGCTTGACTTCGTTCCCTGATTTCTTGGTGCCTTCAAGCTTTCTTCAGGATGACTTCAAAGGTCGGGGAAGATAGCTCCAGTATAGCCTAAGTACCTCAGCTTTTCTCTCCAAACATGTACACATCAAATCCTAGGGAAAGTCTATGGATCAAATGGGTAAGAGTTAGTTCCCACATAGTAAGGGGCACTCAATTATCAAAATAAGGGGAGGAAAAGGGCTGGACACTGTGGCTCATGCCTGTAATCCCAGCACTTTCGGAGGCCAAGACAGGCGGATCACTTGAGGCCAGAAGTTCAAGACTAGCCTGGCCAACATGGTGAAATCCCATCTCTACTAAAAATACAAAAATAAGCCAAGCATGTGGTGTGTGCCTGTAATCCCAGCTACTTGAGAGGCTGAGGCACAAGAATCACTTGAACCCACGAGGCAGAGGTTGCAGTAAGCTAAGATCATGCCACTGGACTCCAGCCTGTGTGACAGAGTGAGATTCTGTATCAAAAAAAAAAAAAAAAGGTGGTGATGGGGGTGGGGTAGGGAGGAGAAAACAGATGCTGAAGAGACAAAAATGACAAAATTTGGAATAATAAAGGAAGTTAAGGATAAATTGTCTTACAAGAGCAGCACAAAAGAAGTGTAAAAATCATATGCTTTACTCTCCCAGCACCCAGTTAAAATACTCTTCCTAAAGAGTAATTTTTTTCATGAAATGAAACTCAGGTTATTGAGAAACTGCAGCAGGATGGGAAATAATCTTGCTTTCCTCAGAGATGTAGAGAAGGGCAAGAACTGGAAGAGTTCCTCCACCAAGGTAAAATAGGCATGGAAAGGGACAGCAATGGGCACAGGTATCGGGGAGGGTAAATCGACTTTGGGCAGGTACAGCAATAGGCACAGGTATCGGGGAGGGTAAATCGACTTTGGGCAGGTACAGCAAGAGACATTAGGTAACAATCCAAGAAAAGTCAGTACCCATAGCCTGGGCAACATGGAGAAACCCTGTCTCTACAAAAAATACAAAAACTAGCCAGGTGTGGTGGTTCAAGCCTGTGGTCCCAGCTACTCAGGAGGCTGAGGTGGGAGGATCTCCTGAACCCAGGTAGGTCAAGGCTGCAGTGAGCCGAGATCGAGTCATTGCACTGCTGCCTGGGCAACAGAGTGTGACTCTGGCAAAAAAAAAAAGAAAGAAAAAAAGAAAAAAAAAAGGCCAGTCTCAGTGGCTCACACCTGTAATCCCACCACTTTGGGAGGCCAAGGTGGGTGGATCACCTGAGGTCAGGAGTTCAAGACCAGTCTGGCCAACGTGGCGATACCCCGTCTCTACTAAAAATACAAAAATTAGCTGGGTGTGGTGACACATGCCCATAATCCCACCTATCAGGAGGCTGAGGCAGGAGAATCGCTTGAACCCGGGAGGCAGAGGTTGCAGTGAGCTGAGATCGCACCACTGCACTCCAGCCTGGGTGACAGAGCAAGACACCATCTCAAAAAAAAAAGAAAGAAAGAAAGGAAGGAAGAAAAGTCAGTACCCGTCATCTCAATACAAAGAAGATGGAATGTCTCAGATGGTAGATGTTAAGTGTTCCCCTGCATAGATCTCCAAATATGGAAAGTTATCTGTCAGATATTTAGGCTGAAGTTGTGGAGCACACCTTCTGTCCCTAGGTATGATAAGAATAGAGACTGATAAGAACAAGGCAGGCCTCCAGGTCTAGAGAAAGTGTGGTTCTCAGTAGGTTTCTAAGTCAGGGATCCAGGCACAGGGAACAGACAGGGATGTAGTTACAAAAACTGGTTACCAGAAGGCCTGGTCTTGGAGACAAGTAGGAAGTCCAGTTATTGGAGCGTGTCAGAGCTAGTCTAGCAATGAGTATGACTTTGTGTGCCAAATCTCTGGATGATGGACATGAGTGCCCTCCTGGGGCTGAGATTTGTTTTAGGGGCCGGAAGGTTGGTATCTGTTGGGAGACGAAGGATATAGAAGTAGGGAGTTAGACAGATTCTGACAGACACAAGGAAAGATTTTACCATGCAAGTTGAATAGCATGTATTTTGATCAGATCAATTCTGAAGCTATAAAGTACAATAAATGAGATGTTTTAAAAATAAGAGGCTGGGCGTGATGGCTCACACCTGTAATCCCAGCACTTTGGGAGGCTGAGGCGGGTGGATCACTTGAGCCTGGGAGTTCAAGACCAGCCTAGGCGACATGGCGAAACCCAGTATCTACTGAAAATACAAAAATTTAGGCAGGCATGGTGGTGCATGCTTGTAGTCCCAGCTGCTCTGGAGGCTGAAGTGGAAGGATTGCTTAAGCCTGGGAGGTCAAGGCTGCGGTGGGCTGTGATCATGCCACTGCACTCCAGCCTGGTCAACAGAGTGAGATCCTGTCTCAAAAAAAAAAAAAAAAAAAGAGGAAGAATCCACATCTAATTTGAAACACCCAGAGCTGTGGGAGTATCATGACCAGAGCGCAAGAAGTACAATATTGGGGCACATTTAGATAAGGATAATTTGTATTATTGATTTGTATTCATCTCTAAGATGTGCCTCTCACTGTGAAGTTCCATGGATAAAGATTTGGCTTCAGTTTCTGTCTGGAAACCTGGCACCATTTACTTACAAATTAAAAATACAAGTGAATCATTTACATATCTCCTAGAAACCAAAGAGTTTGTATGTTATACCTCAAGTAATTTGGATAATGCTGTGGGTTGCGTTTTTTTTCTTTTTTAAATTATAATTAAGCCATCCATCACTTCAAGGTGATAATTTTCTCAAGTATGCTCTTCTTAAAACAATTGCATTTTATTTAGTATGTTATAGCGTGAGGAATTTTGACTCCTAGGGAAAATCTCATGTAAGTGATCATCTGTTATTTTGAGGGGAGATGATGGGGAGGAGTCTTTTCTGATCCTCTTCTTTTGAAAGTTATCACCCTCCCACTCTATGGGATTTAGGTGGGTCTGTCAGATACATGGGTTTAAATCCAGAACCTGCTTGATTCCCAACTTCTGTATCCTTTCTCTCCCCACAGATACCAACCATCTGGCCCTAAAACAAATCTCATCAGTTTATGAACCAAGCAGCCCAATCAGAGTACCTAATTCTCCCTACCACACAATTGGTCAAGGAGGAAGCAAGTGACATAATCTAAATTCTTTCCAAAGATGGATGCAAATGCTAGGAAAGCAAGAGTTGAATTGCTAGCCATGAGGAAAACGTAAGCCTGAGCTGTTTGCTGGTCATCTTTGCTTCCATATGGAGACAGCCTGCGTGGAAATGAAGCCACACAGAGAAAACAGAAGAGCAGTGAAGAGAAAGGTAAAAGGAGAGATCCCATGACATGATTTGCACTCTTAGATCCAGTTATGCCTGAAGCAGGACTCACCCCTTGGACTTCCCATTTCCAGGAGCCTATGCATTCTCTGTTGCTAAAACTAGATTGAGTTGAGTTTCTATCACCTACAAGTTGACAGAAAATATCAACAATCCAGCCACATGGAGCCTCAAGGCAGTACCACTAACCCTGGTCACCACACAAATACTGACCAGAGGTAAGCATTATTAGCTTCTGCTTTGTTGGAGGAACATTTGAGAGTCTATTTTGTGTTATGAAATTTTACTTTTTGCCTCCAATGTCTACTTGTTGCAATTGCATGCAGTGAAGGAACACAAAATAGACTGAATAATAAACAAGTTTCATTTTAATTTAGCACCAAGGAGTTAATATCAAGCCACAGAACTTTAGACGTTAACTTGCTTTGCTAATCATTTTTGATGACAATATTTTGAAAGAATTTAGTTCACATATGTGCTTGCAAATAAGGTGTAATCTTGCAAGATATTCAAGATTGCTCTGTCATTGGTCGTGAATGAAAAAGGTTTCTCTGTATCATTGGGCATTTGAAAGAATGTATAAAAAGTGCAGGATGTCTCCTTACTAGTATATAATGTTTCCAACTTTGCTGTTGTAGAGTTCAAAGCCAGTCTGACTCTTGATCCTTAAATATATGTTTTTTCTCCTCTCCAGAAGCTTTGAAGATCCCTTTGTCTCTGATGTTCTGAAGTTTCACAGTCGTGTGTGTTGGCATGAGTCTTTCCCCATTCTTGTTCTGAGTGGATCCTTACACTCCGGAAATTCATTTCTTGCAGAACTATTTATTGACGGCCTATTGTGTGTCTGGTTCTATTTTATGCAATGATCAAACATACAAAATCCTTGCCATGGGGGATTTCACATTATAGGCAGATATTGGACAACCTGCGGTGATCCAATAGCTTCCTTATTTTTTTTTTCTCTTCCATTTCCACCTTCTTGTCTTTTCTTTCTTCTTTCTAAAAGAGTCTTCATCTTCCAACTTCTTTATTAAAGTTTTTGCTCCTGCTATGTGTTCAATTTCCAAGGGCTCTGTATTATTTCATAAGTGTGTATCTTCTCTTATCTCTCTGAAGACGTCTCTAACAGTTTTACTATTTATTTATTTTACTTATTGCTTTATCTCAATACCTCTACATTTTGTTGTCCTGTTCATTTGTTTTGGTCTCTGTTTTTTAATGATAAGAACTTTCTTTCTCACCTATTTGTGTTTAGGGGGCTGCAGAACTGAGAACGTACTGACAGCTCTGTTGAGAGTATGGGATTTGTGAACTGGGCTTCATTAGTAAGGTGACTGGGCAAAACTTAAATTTCACTGAGGTTTTCCTCCCTCCATATTGTCTTATCTATAGTTAGTTGCCAGTGTTTATACATGATATTCTAGCCTCAAGGTGGATTTACTCTAAAATTTATTTTACTCAAGCTTGACACAGAATGTTTTAAATTTTTGTTTGTTTGTTTGTTTTTTGAGACTGAGTATCTGTCATCCAGGCTGGAGTGTAGTGGCACCATCTTGGCTCACTGCAACCTCCGCCTCCTGGATTCAAGCAATTCCCTTACCTTAGCCTCCCAAACAGCTGGGATTACAGGCACTCGCCACCATGCCTGGCTAAATTTTTTTGTATTTTTAGTAGAGACGGAGTTTTGCCATGATGGCCAGGCTGCACTTGAACTCCTGACCACAGGTGATCTGCCCACCTTGGCCTCCCAAAGTGCTGGGACTGCAGATGTGAGCCACCATGCCCAGCCTTTAAATTTTTATTCTACATAATAAAATCAAATTACAGAGCAGCTGCCTGGTACAATTTGTATAGAAAACTTATATTTGGGCCAGGCACGGTGGCTCACACCCGTAATCCTAGCACTTTGGGAGGCCGAGGTGGGAGGATCACTTGAGGTCAGGACTTTGAGACTATCTTGGCCAATATGGCAAAACCCCATCTCTACTAAAAATACAAAAATTAGCCAGACATGGTGGCACACGCCTGTAATCCCAGCTACTTGGAAGGCTGAGGCAGAATTGCTGGAACCCAGGAGGTGGAGGTTGCAGTGAGCTGAGATCGTACCACTGCATTCCAGTCTGGGTGACAGAGCAAGACTCTGTCTTGAAAAAACAAACAAACAAAATAAACAAAAACCACTTATATTTGGAAAGTAAAAAAACAAAACAAAACAAAGCAAAACAAACAAACAAAAAAACCAAGACTTTATTGCAGAGCTGCCCAACAGGTATGCCACAAGCAAGTTATGAATGTTCCAAGGTATGGACCCCTTCCCTTGGGTCAATAAGGTGAAAGTACATGTGTAACAACCAGCTCTCCAGGAAAAAAGCGTTGATTTGTAGCATTTGTTAATTTTATCTTACTTTTTAGAGATAGAGTCTTATTATGTTGCCTAGGCTGGCCTCAAACTCCTGGGCTCAAGTGATCCTCCTGCCTCAGCCTCCCAAAGTGCCGGGATTATAGAGGTGAGCCATTGGGCCCAGCCTGCATTCAATAATTGTTTTTATTTCCGTGGTGTAAGTACTCCTACCACGGACAATTTCAGACTGCCAACAAGCTGTCATTAAATTCAGATTGGGGAAGATATATGTACACAGTTGGCTCTTGGGAGCTGGTAGGAGCTGGCTCCAGCACATTTCTGAACACTTAAACTCTCGGGAGTGCTGGTGGATGTCTCAGGTGAGCAGTGCCTGCCCTGGGTTATTGCCTTCTGCTGAGAACAGTCTTGTCAATTTACCCCAATGTGCTGTTCAACTATTATCATTCATATATATATTTTTGTATATTTAGTAGAGCCAGGGTTTTGCCATGTGGCCCTAGCTGGTCATCCTG